TTCCTCATGTGCCTTGCAATTTACAACTTTTACTGACAAGATTATTTTTAAGCACTGTTTGTTACTAAACAGAAGTACAAAAGAGTTTGTATTTTTTTTTTCCTCTGGGAAACAGGGAAGGGTATGAGTGTTCCATATTAACCATTCCCTTCCCAACTCCCATCTGCTGACTTTGTATTGTTGAAAACATTGACAATATTTTAAGCTTTGTACTGTACTGATCTTTATTTAAAAACCTTAGTGAAAAAAAAAATCTGTGAAAGCAAAACAATTTGTGTGGTGTGAAATTCCCAAATGCACAACTACAGAAGGTTATGAGTCATTAGGAAGAAAGGGTGATAATAATTATGGAGAGGATATATTAGAGTGGATAATAATTATAATAATGAACAATAGGGAGTGGTTTCATCTGTGCATCGCAAAGCACTTTCCAGGTTTCACGATAACTATTGGATTTCATTACCTTTCCACAAGGGAAGTGCAGAATGGCTGCCCTGACACTGATTAGAGGGATTTAAGGTTATCACCCAAAGCCATGGAATGGTTCAGTTGGGAAGAGACCTCGGGGGTCACCTGGCTCTGCTCAAGCAGGGCCACCCAGAGCTGGCTGCCCAGGTCCATGGCCAGATGGATTTTGAAGATCTCCAAGGATGGAGACACCATCACCTCTCTGGGCAACTTGTGCCAGTGCTTGGCCACCCTCAGAGTAAAAAACTGTTTCCTGATGTTCAGAGGAACCTCCTGTTCCAGTGTGGCCTTTGGTCCTGGGCACTGGAACCTGACACAGAGCCTGGCTCCTTCTTCTCTGCACCCTCCAGAGGTTCAGGGATTTATATACATTGGTAAGATCCTTTAAATATTCCCTGACATGATGGTCTTCCACTGAGGTACGTATTCCTTGTTCCAGCCTTTTCCACTGGTCTCAAGGACCTGGGATTCCTGAAGGCTAGTGAGTAAATACTGAGGTGAAGAAGGCTTTTCCATGTTCTGTGTAACCAGCTCCCACACCTTGCTGAGTAATGGGCCCACATTTTCCCTAATCTCCCTTTTGTCACCCATGTACCTATAGAAACCTTTCTGGTTGTCTTTGACATCCCTGGACAGATTCTAGTTGGGCTTTGCCTTTCTTCATCTCTGCTCTCAGATTCCTTCCTATCCATGTCCTTGCTTTCACCTTCTCTGTGGTGCTTCTGTGTTTGAGTTTTCCCTGTTTATCCATGCAGGCCTGATGGCATTTTTGCCCAGCTTCCTGCTCGTTGGAATGGACTGCTCCTGAGCTTGGAGGAGGTGACTCCTCCTCAAGCCTTATCCCATAGGACTCTACCAATCAGGTGGAGATCTCAGCAGAGACCAAATTCTTCTCCTGAAGTCCAGAGCTGTGAATTTGGTTTTTACGCTCCTCCCTCCCTTCAGGATCCTGAACTCCACCATCTCATGGTTACTGCAGCTAAGGCTGCCTTTGATTTATCCCCAGCAAACCCTAGTTGGTGAGTATGATGTCCAGCAAAGCACCTCTCCCCGTTGGCTCCTCAATCACTGGGATGAGGGAGTTATCAGCACCGCATTCCAGGAACCTTCTGGATTGCTCATCATGGAATCATAGAATAGTTTGAGTTGGAAAGGACCTTAAAGATCACCTTGTTCCAACCCCCTGCCATGGGCAGGGACACCTTCCACTAGACGAGGTTGCTCAGGGCTCCATCCAACCTGACCTTGAATGTTTCCAGGGATCCAGAACTTGCCTGGACAACCTGTGCCAGTGCCTCACCACCCCCACAGGGAAGAATTTATTCCTAATATCCAATCTAAACCTGCCTTCTGTCAGTTTGAATCCATTCCCCCTTGTGCTGTCACTCCAGGCCCTTGTAAAAAGTTTATCTCCATCTTTCCTGTAGGTTCCCTTCAGGTACTGGAAGGCTGCAATTAGGTCACCCCAAAGCCTTGTCTTCTCCAGGCTGAACAATCCCTGTTCTCTCAGCCTTTCCTCATAGGAGAGGTGCTCCATCCCTCTTATATTTTCCTTCCAGCAGATATCAGGGTTGGCTGAAGTCCCCCATGAGGACCAGGGCCTGCAAAGAGGCAGCTGCCCATTACACTGTCACCCATATTGGTCATCTCTAATCCTTCCCTGTAAGCTCTGTTGTCTCATCATCCAGGCAAAACTCCATGCACTCCAGCTGTTGTCTCACCAAAGGGCAGCTCCCCCTCCTCACCTTCTTGGCCTGCCCTTAAAAAGACTGTCTGTATCCCTCCATTGCAACACTCAGGTCATGGGAGCCATTCCACCACATCTTCCTATGATCCCGAGATCGCAGCCCTGCGGATGCACACATGGCTCTGATTCATCATGCCCAGTCCCCACACTGCCTGAGTTCTTTACACACACTTCAGAGAGACACCCCAGCACGCTGACTTCCCAGATTTAGGGATCCCGGTTTTAGGGATTTTCCCATCGCAGTGGAAAATTGTTGATTTTGTGATCCCTTTCTGTCACATCCCTCCAGGTCCTCAACTTACCAGCCTTGTCCAGGAGGATCACGTGTGATCACATTCATACCTCATCCCCCAGGATGTACACCTGTGTGAATTTCAGCTCTCAAAACCTCTAAAAATCTTATATTTTTCCTTCTATTAACCAACACGTTTAAGGATTTCTTAATATAACACACAGACTAAGGCTTCTGTATGGTTATGTTTTTACCCACCAGAGGGCGAGTTGTCTCCATCTGTGTCCTCCAGTGCCACGAAAGCAGAGCCCGATTAAGAATCCCTTTTCCCTTTCATGGGTAGACAGCGGGGATGTAGGAAGCTAACATCTTACCATCTTAACATTGGTAATTCAGATTTGTCTGTGCAGAAGTTGTCAAAGCTGAATCCAGATCTTCTGAGTTGCACTTGAATTCTTTATTCCTCATTTCTACTCTCTCCTGCTTTACAGTCACTATTCCTAAGAAAATACCAGCTTCTGCTATGGTTTTCCTTAAGCTTCCTTTCATGGAATCACAGAATGGTTTGGGCTGGAAGAGACCTTAGAGCTCATCTAGTTACAAGCCCCTGCCATGGGCAGGGACACCTTCCACTATCCCAGCTTGCTCCAAGCTCCATCCAGCCTGGCCTGGAACACTTCCATGAATGGGGCAGCCACAGCTTCTCTGGGCAACCTGTGCCAGAGCCTCACCACCCTCACATGTAAAGAATTTATTCTTAGTACCTTATTCAAACTTGCCCTCTGTCAGTTTAAAACCATTGTCCCTTGTCCTATCACCAGATACTCTTGTAAATAATCCCTTTTTGGGTCTCTTGGAGCCCATTTAGGCACTGGAAGGGGCTCTAAGGTCTCCCTGAAGCTGCCTCTTCTCCATGCTAAACATCCCCAGCTCTCCAAGGCCATCATCATTACAGTCTGTGCAGGGGCACTGGGACACACAGCCTTGTCACAAACTTGATGTCACTCTCCTCAGGGATGATCCCTGGCACACGAAGGCAAGTTTCCTTCTCTGAGCAAGGCCTTGCTCCTTGCTAAACACTGCCTGGATATCACAGCATGAGAAAATCAGAGCAAATGCTCAGTCCCATCACCTGCCTCTGAGTCAGCCGTCACACCAGCAGCTTTGCTGTCTTCCAGATCCAGCCCTTCCAGCCCTGCTTGGCCTCCAATCCATTATTTTCCTTTCTAAGCTCATCAGCCTCATTCTTTATCTCCCACCGGCTGGCTTTCTTCTCTCTCCCACACCGTGCTCAGACAGACGGTCTGGCTGCATTTCTCCCCGCTTAACTTCTGCTTACAAAACCCTCGATCTGCTGCCTGCCCTTGGATTGCAGCCTGGCTCATCTTGTGTACTACTGATAAAGAGAACAAGGGAAAGACACACAAAAAAACCTCTTTTTTTTTTTTTTTTTTTTTTTTTTCCCCAGAGGATCACAGAATCATAAAATGGTTTGGGTTGGAAGTGACCTTAAAGATCATCTCATTCCAACCCCCCTGCCATGGGCAGGGACACTTTCCACTAGACCAGGTTGCTCCAAGCCACGTCCAACCTGACCTTGAACACTTCCAGGGATGGGAAATCCACAACTTCTTTGGGCAACACGCAACTTTACTCTTCCATGGTTATGGATTTAGCTCTTTTTTCTCTCTTGCATTTGGGAGTGACTTTTGCACAACCACCTTTTCCTTGCTGGTCTCCCTGATGCTTGTTTTTGCCCCTTCCTTCAGAGATAAAAATCATGTTTGAAAGAGAGGGATTATATCAGTGCTACATATTAAACCCCCACTATTTCACAGCTCATATACGTACTATATACATAATAAACCAGCACAACCCCTTCTGTTAAAATGTTTCAAGCACTTTAGGTATGGATTTGACCCTCCATGGCTACTCCTCACCGTGGGCACTGCACAGGGCAGAGAAAACTTCCCCAAAAAGTAGCCTGGATGCCACCACCCGTTTTGGAGGCCAAGATATTTTAATGTGAGGGGGCTGTGAGGGGGCTGTGAGGGGCTATGAGGCTGTGAGAGGCTGTGAGGGACTGAGAGGGGATATGGGATCTATGAGGGGCTGTGAGAGGCTGTGATGGGATATAGGGCCTATGAGAGGCTGTGAGGGGATATAGGACCTATGAGGGGCTGTGGGGTCTGTGAGGGGCTTTGAGGGGGCCGTGGGGGGCTGCGAGGGGGATGTGAGAGGCTTTTGGGGGGATATAAGAAGGGATGTGAGGGGGCTATGAGGGGCTATGGGTGGACTTTGAAGGGGGTGTGAGGGGACTGTGAGGAGGTTATGAGGACGCGGTGAGGGGGAAATCCCAAGTAAAAGAGGATTCACGCGTTCTGTGTCCTTATTTCCACACTGCAGGGGACCGACCGCCCCCTCGGTACCGCGTAAGGAGGGTCCCGCCCCTCCACCTCCCCCCGCAACGTTGACACGGCCGCCGCGCTGACCGTGGCGCTAACTGCGCAGGCGCGGAGTGAGGCGCGCGGAAGGGCCCGCGCATGCGCACTGAGCGCTCCGGCGGTTGCCGTGGAGACGCGTCGGCGGGGCCGGGCCGGGAGCGCCGCCATGAGCGCGGGACCGGGACCGGGAATGGGAACGGGATCAGGGCCGGGACCGGGATCGGGAACGGAATTAGGACCGGGACTAGGACCCGGACTGGAATCAGAATCGGGACCGGGATCAGCACCGGTACCGGCCCTGGGACCGGGACCGGGGCCGGCGCCTGGTCTGCCCTTCCTCCCCGGCTGTGCCGTCAGGGACCCCACGGTGAGCGCACACGCCCGCTGTTCCCTCCGCCGTAACCCTGTCCCAGGGACTCCTCTCGACCAGGGGCGCCAGAGACTCGTCGGGGGACCTCATGGCCCCTGAAAACACCCCCTGGGAATGTGGTACTGCCTCAGACCCTCCTCTAATTCCCCCGGAGACCTGGTACCCCTAAAGTCAACTAATATTCGTGGAATCATGGAATGGTTTGGGTTGGAAGGGACCTCAAAGGTCATCTGGTTCGAACTCCCTGGTATGGGCAGGGACACCTTCCACTATCCCAGGTTGCTCCAAGCCCCATTCAGCCTGGCCTTGGACACTTCCAGAGATGGAACAGCCACAGCTTCTCTGGACAACCTGCCCCAGGGCCTCACCACCCTTACAGCCAAGAATTCCTTCCCAATATCCCATCTAACCCTGCCCTCTGGCAGTGGGAAGCCATTCCCCTTTGTCCCATCCTTCCAAGCCCTTGTCCAAAATCCCTCTCCAGCTCTCTTGGAGCCCCTTTAGGCACTTCTCCAGGTGAACACCCCCAGCTGTCCCAGCCTGTCTCCAAAGCAGAGAGGCTCCAGCCCTTGGAGCATCTCTGTGGCCTCCTCTAGACTTGCTCCAGCAGCTCCACATCCTCCTTATGCTGGGGGCCCCAGAGCTGGATGCAGCACTGCAGGTGGGGTCTCACAAGAGCAGAGTAGAGGGGATATGTTACCCCCTGAACCCATGCCAAGGGAACATCCTGTTCCTCAGACCACCCTGTAATTCCCTGGAAAGGCCTGGTGCCCCCTGAATTCACCAAATATCACTGAGGCAACTTGGTGTCGTGTGAACCCATGTCCTGTGAACATGGTACCCTTCAAACTGACCAGACCCTGGTACCCTGTGATGTGACTCTCAAGGAACCTGGTGCCCTCTAACCTCATTTGATGCTCCCCAGCAGACCTAATATCCACTGAATTCTCCCCAAGGAACTTGGTGTTTCCCAAAGCCCACAGATCCCTGCTGAACTCACTTCTGGGGGACCTGAATGCTCTGAACCCACCTGGTGTCTCCTGACCCCACTCACAGCTGATCTGGTACTCCCTAAGTTCTCCCAGTCTCCCTTGTAATTGCAAGTGTGTTCCAGGGGTCTTGGTACTTTTAATCTTGTCCCCAAGGAATCCATTGCATCATGTACCCATCTTATAACCCTGAATTTGTTCTGATAGCTTTGGGGAGGGACACACACACACACCAGCCTCATTTGAGATTCCAAAAGCTTTTTCCATAACTGCAGAACTGCTGTCTGCAAACTCGTCCCATGGAAATCCAGTCCCCCTGAATCCATCCAATAATTCTCCAGCCAGTTCATGTGATACCCCAAGGGAAATCCCCAAACTCACTTTACAGTCTTGAAACCTGATTCCCTCGGGAAAACTGCTGTTTCTCTGAACCATCTCATTTTCCCCAAAGGAATGTGTTTGAACCTTCAACTCATTGTGATACTGCCCTGAACCAGGACCCTTAAATTCACCTGATATCCACTCATCTGGAAATACCCAGGAGAACACACACTGTCCAAACTTCAAGCAGTCCTCCTCTAGGAATTAATCTCTCAAATCATCCCAATATTACTGTGTCCTGCATCCACCCACCCCGCTTAGAGGGACAGATATGCCCTGAAGTCACCAGTCTCCTGGTCAGTCAACACCCTCCTGAAACTCCCTCCTCCAAACATCTGATACTTCCAAAAATGCTCTCCTGGTATTGCCTGGAGAACTGAATCTTTGGTGGTCCAGGTCTGGAACCTGATAACCTGATGAGAGAACTGGTATCCCACCACAGAACTGATACCACCACAGCCTCCAGGATCATCCCAAGGAGGTGCTCCCAGATTCCCTGGAATAATCAGTCTCATCCTCATCCTCTGCACTTGATACCTAAATGAGGAGGCAACCTCTCCTTTTCCACATTCCCAGTGACCCACACACTAAGGACCTGATAACCCCAAATCTTCCCAACATCCTCTTGGGATGAGAGAACTGATACTCCCTGAGTACTCCCATTTACTTCTCGGATGCACGAAAACATCCCACAAAATGTCCAAAAAGGGGTTATTTCATGCCTGGTTTGGGCACACCAAGGATTTACAGGCTCCTTGGAGAGCATCTCTAACAGGGAAACATTCCTGGCTGCATTCAGCTTCATATGTAAAAATTACTTATCATAGAATCATGGAATGGTTTGGGTTGGAAGGGACCTTAAATATCATCCAGTTCCAACCCCCTGCCAGGGGCAGGGACATTTTCCATAGACCAGCTTGCTCCAAGTCCATCCAACCCGGCCTCAATCTTTGACAATTGAGTTCTCCAACAGTTAGTGGAGTCATTTACTCATAACAAATAACCATGCAGTAATAAAGGTCATCTCAGAATTATTATCAGATAATAATACTATTTCCCTGAGATCATTTATAACGTCTCAGAAATCTACAATTTTCCAGTCTCTAAAATGGGCATCGCAGCACTTGTTTTCCAATGAATGCTGAGAGGTGTTGAAGGAAACCTCTGTGTTCAAATAAACGGTGTTGTTATTGCTTAGTGCTCATGGGACAGGAAAACACGGACACTTGGAGAGAGAATGGTGTTTGTGTGAAGTGTTATAGACTTGGCAAAAAGTAGAACTTAATTCAGTGCAATTTCTTCAGATAGGGATTGGCAGCTACTGGGATTAGGAGTTTACATTCTGGGTTTTCCCTTTTAAATTTCCATTAGTCACCTGATCCTGTGAGATGTTATCTGGCATCCAAGGCTCACTTGGGAGAGCTTATCCACTCCAGGAGCCTAGTGTCTCTATGAGGTGGTTTTTTTAGGCAACTGTGGGCCCTTAAAAGCCTGTGCACTTCTGGCAAACACTGATATTACTCAAATAAAAGACAAACTTCCTGGTTTTCCTTGAATATTTTCCCCACAGCTTTCCCTTTGGATGTATTTAACAGAAGGAAATGGCAGTTCTGTGGCAGTTTGTAAGATGTTGTGCTAACGTGTCTTTAGTCAACTCTTATTTTCACCCGAACCTGTTTTCCTCACTGCTCTCTCCATTGCAAGATCTGTAGTAGCAGTTTAAAGAGAAAACAAGGAATTATGTGAAATTCAAGTGGGACCTTGAAGGTATAAATAAGATTAGAGGCTTAACCATGAGGGGCGAGGTAGGGGGTGGAGAAGAAGTGTTTCACATGCCTGAGGTTGGACTGAGTGCAAGTCTGGGGCTGGAAAAGGAGCTGAAACTTGTTCTTTCAGCACTAGAAATGCATACAACCCTGTTTTATTTGGCAACAGTCAAGGGCTTTTATTGTCAAAGACTCATAATTTCTCCTGCTTTCTCTGGAGCATGAAGTGTTGAAAGCCCAGTGGGACCAGCCAGGCTTTCAGGAGTGCAGGTGATGTACCAGGTGTGGTGAATTCTACAGCAAGTGGAATGGCTTGATGGCACTCAGGTCTGAACCTACTCTTCAGTAGTGAAGAGCAGGACTGGCTGACAGAGATCAAGTCCTACTCACGGCTCTGATTGAGTCTGGGGAGGAGTTTGGGTTCTGGTGGATGAGAGGCTGGACATGCCCCGGCCATGGGCACTCCCAGCCCAGAAACCCCCCGTGTCCTGGGCTCATCCCATAGTGTGGGCAGCAGGGAGGGGATATTCTGCCCCTCTACCCCCTCAGGTGAGACCCCACCTGCAGAGCTGCCTCCAGCCCTGGGGAACAGCAGCAGAAGGACTTGGAGCTGCTGGAGAGAATCCAGAGGAAGCCACAGAGTTGCTCCGAGGGCTGGAGCCCCTCTGCTCTAGAGACAGGTTGCGAGAGCTGGGGGTGTTCACCTGGAGAGGAGAAGGCTCCATGGAGACCTTAGAGCCCCTTCCAGTGCCTAAAGGGTCTACAAGACAGATAAGGACAAGCTTTTTAGTAGGGCCTGTACCACTAGGACAAGGGATGATGATTTTAAACTAAAAGAGAGTCAATTTAGATTAGATGTAAGGAAGTTTTTTGCAGTGAGGGTGGTAAAACACTGACACAGGTTGCCCAGAGAAGCTGTGGCTGTGCTATCCCTGGAAGTTAAAGGCCAGGTTGGACGGGGCTTGGAGCAACCTGGGTCTAGTGGAAGGTGTCCCTGCCCATGGCAGGGGGTTGGACTAGATGACCTTTAAAAGTCTCTTCCAAGCCAAGCTGTTCTGTGATTCTGTGACTGTGGAGAGAGGTGACAAAACAACTAGTAGGTTTCATAATTGCAGTTCTGTGAGCACGACACACCAAGATTTAGCCCAGCAAAGAAAATCCTGTATCATGCCCAGGAGAGGGTTAACAAAATAAATAACAACAGAATACACAGAGGGTGCACAACAGTCAAGGGAGCACCATAAGGCAGTAACTGAGGTCCCATGATGCCTATACTGCTGAAAAACAGGGTAGGGAACAAAAGGTTTGTGAGATCAATACCACATAAAGTGCTGACACCCCATTCTAGGCACTGAGTATGGTGGCAATAGGGAAATTCATTGATTTCAGTTCTTGGGGAATCTGTTACAGTGTTAGGATTTGAATCCGCTCTCATACTTTGTACATCCAGCCACTTACTGTTTTTTCAGCCTCCTTGGTCTAAGTGTAAAATTTGATTTTAAATAGCTGCTGCAGTAGTTTATAATAAAATGCTGGGGGTAGGGGAGAGAGATTGGTTTTCTGTGCTTTCAGTAGCTGTATCTACTCAGTTCATGCAGTATTTTGACAGCTGGATTTCTTTCCACAGAGAACATCTTTTCATCGGTCCCACACACTGGGCTTCAGAAATGGATATGCCTTTTCCCAGCTGCCAAGGGAGGGGGTTGGCGGGCAGACGATCTTCCCAAATCTGCTTTCTCAAGATCAGCTGGATGATTTATGCACAAAGGGACCCACCCTGACCTACGGGCCAGCCAAGAAGTCTCCACCTCCACCCTTCATGCCGTCATACGTGGCTTTTGACAAACAGGTATAAAGAAGCTTATTCCAGGAATATCACTGGCCAAATTCGGAGACACAAACACTCGGCTCCAGGGTTCACAACACTGTGTGCAGCAGTTTTCAGATGCCATAGCCCTTAGTCAGAGACAGCTGAACCCCAGACTGAAAGAGGCTTTCTTTGCTTGGGAGGAGGATTATAATACGTAAACGATGTAAGACATTCCCTGCAAGTTATACTCCAGCATTTCCAGCAGGGTTGGAAAAGAGGTTTGATTAACTCTGAAAAGCTCCAGTTTATAACTGTTGCTCTGTAAGCCACAGCTTTGGCTTTTTGTGTTTCCAAAACTGTATTGAGATTGTAACTGGGCTTTAACTGGAAACGTCAGTCTGCAGTGGGGACTCTGATAGTCTGACTGTGGTCTATCTATTTATGCTTGTGTTGGTCATCACAGCGTGTCTCAGCCTGTGCTGCCCCATTAGTACTTCCTGAGTTACATCTTGGTGATCATATTGGACTAGGAGGTGGCTCTGTGTCTACTCAGGGCAGTCCTGAGCTGACCCTTGATTTAAAATGCTCCAGTGTCCCATCCTGCAATTGGCAGCCACGGACAGAGCAGTGGCTGCAGAGCTCCGTGCAAGGCTCCCGGAGCTCGGCACGTGCAGGGCTCCACACACTGCCAGGGCTGGGAGAGCAGTCTGGAGCCAGCCAACCCTCAGCCCGTCTGTGAGACAGGCTGGGGAACAGATGTACTGTGTTAATTACTGAGGCTGTTCCTTCAGATGCAGACGTTGCTGTTTATTCTGTCAGATCGTTCTCTGCCCCTTCCTTTGAGCCAGAGGAGCATCAGGGGCCCCAGTGCTGCTGGGGGCATCCTGGTCCCTTGTGGGGCACTTTGCTGACTGGTAGGAACTTGCTTTATCATCCCTTCATTATCCAGGCCTCTGTGCTGATGTAGCCTGGGTATGCAAGGCCTGACTGGCCACCTACATCCTCTTAGGGGCACTGAATGATCTTGGAGAGAATATTCCTCCTACTTCTGCCAAGCACAGGGACTGGCTGATTAATTTCCTTGCTTCCCCAGCATAGATCAGGTTTTGCTGTCAGTGTTGAATAGATGTGACTTCACAATCATGGAATAGTTTGGGTTGGAAGGGACTTAAAGATTCTCTTGTTCCTATGCTCCTAACATGGGCAGGGACACCTTCCACTAGACCAGGTTGCTCAGAGCCCCATCCAACCTGGCCTTGAAATGATGAGCCATGCAGATTTTAAAATCCTCAGCTGTGGCTGAACTCTTTATTAAAATCTCTTGTTAGCTTCCCTAAATCAGGGGCTGTAAAGCTGAGAAATAAAGAGTCAGGTATGTCAGTAAATTATGGTCAACAGCCAAGCACCTGGCAGGAGGTGAAATAAGCATGTGATTAAGGAGGAGTAGGGAAAAGGTTGTATTTTTACACCTGTCCCATGCATGTCAAATTTGTCAAAGGCAGGTCTTGATAAAAGCTCTCATGGTGCCTCTGCCATCACTCACAGATTTGGCCTCAGTTGTGTTTGATGATTTTGTAGAACACAATCCAGTAACTTTGCACTGCCAGAGCAAATTAAAAATAAATTATCGCTCTTCATAGACTAATCATGGTGTTCAAATTGTTTCTTTCCCTCTCCCTCTGTTATGTTGTCCCTTGGGCAGGTTTTGAAGTTTGATGCCTATTTCAAGGAAGAGGTTCTTACCTCTGCAGAGGAGCATTACCGGATCCGCCAAGTGGGCATCTACTACTACCTGGAAGACGACAGCATGTGTGTCATAGAGCCTGTGGTGAAGAACTCTGGGCTCATTCAAGGCAAACTTATGAGACGCCACCGGGTGCCCAAGAATGACCAGGGGGATTATTACCACTGGAAGGACCTGAACCTGGCCACGAACATCACCATGTACGGCAGGACGTACCGCTTAGTCGACTGCGACTCCTTCACCAAGGTGGGTTGCTGGTACAGAGAACACTGACAGAAAGAATCCTGGGAATTACAGGTGGACAGACCTGTTAGAGTCCAGCAGCTTGCATCTGTAGCTCACAATCTTTCATTTTGCTTTTTGTGTAGATTTCTTTCTTCAGGCCAATGCAGAGTTCAAGATATGATATTTGCTGAGGGCATGTGAACTGCTTGGTACTTTAGCCCCAGGACTGCTGGGAATCCATCCCTTGTCCTCAGGACTTCTCCTTGCAGTACAAATTCCAGGCTCATCTCTGGGTGCAGAAACATTGTGCATACATGAGAAGGAAATTAGGGATCCTAACTCTTTTCTGATTTAATATTCCTCTGTTAAGGGCAGGGAAAGGGAATAAAATCAATAACCCTGCACTCATCCTCAGCCAAGCCATGATCCGTGGGTTGGGAATCGTGGTGTGAACTGACCTTTCTAAAAGCTTACTCACTGCCTGCTTTTCTATTTCTGGCTATTTCTATGCCAGTAAATGAGATAATAATGATCCAATGACAAGTTATAACAATTACCAGTACACTGGTATCCTGTTAGATTGTCCCCAGGATAATCTCAGTCCTGCTCAGCTACTACTCTTCCAGGCCAGGAGTTAGAACACTCCAGGGACCATTCCCAATAGATGAGTTACGTGCAGTCAACCTGTTCTGGAAGCTGTGAGAGTTTAGATCCAGGCTTTTCCTTGCCAGTTGGCCTCAATACCCAGGAATGTTCCCAAACATATGTAATAATTGGTGTATATGTGGCTGTGAGGCCAGCTGTGCTGAAACTGGAGGACTGTTAAAGTCAGTTCACATCAAATGAAGAGCTGGTCCTCATGTTAATATTGATGAAAAACGTGGAATGAGCTTACCTGGGTCTACATCTCCAGGCCACAAGTCTATTTATCATTAACCTGCACCCTCCAGACCGGAAAATAGTGAGTTTGAAAGTGTGAGCCTGCCTTGTGAGTCTTCGGGGGGATCCCACATCCCCCTTGGAGAAGTTTGCATGGGTGTTTCCTGGGCTGAATATTTTCATGGGCCACTTCCCAAGGCCAAAAAGGGAACAAGTCCATTGACTTCAGAGGTTGTTTTGAGTGAGTGATGCGAGTACACAAGTAACACCCTAGAGTTTGTTCATGCATCCAAGGTAAGCAAGAAAACCCTTCATAAACAAGCAGATTGCACTCTTTCTGTGGGAAAAGTACTCCTGAAAGATGGAATGAAGCTGCCACTGACGCATATCCTCATGCCTGGAAGGTCTTGGTGGGCCTAGTGTGGGTAACACTAACTTCCACTGTCTGACACAGCCCTAAGTCTCTTGCAAATTCAGGCTGACTACATCTGTGTTTAACACCGATTTAACCTTTTTCATTTACATAAAAGAGACCAACTGGCAGTTATCCTCTATTTAAAGCCCTAAGGCCAAGGAAAACTGTGCTCCAGTGAAATCTGAGTTAGGATGTTGAGGACAGGACTACTCTGATTAATTAAAGGGTAAGCAAAGCTAAGAAGTAGCTTAAACAAATATCTTTGTTATCTAATGTACTTGCTATTGCAGTAGAGTGAGGAATGAGCTTGCAGTATTCTGACCTCCCTCACCTCTGTCCATCCATAATCTCTAGCCACCTCTTACCTTCAGAACTCACGGCACATTAACACCTCAGATGACCTTCCTAGGTGTTCATGGAGAGCCAGGGAATTGTACTGAACCCTCCAGAGCAATTGGTTTCGGATCCTTACATAGAACAGCGCCGGACGCCTGTGCAAAAGCCCGTCGTGCCAGCAGGTCCCGACCCCCTCTGGCAGTTCCTGACCTACGACACAAAGGTGAGAGAGCTGGGGATTACCCACATACTGTGGGATTACCCACAGAGCACTCGTAAGGCACCTCCAGTCCTGTGTCCAGTTCTGGGCCCCTCACTTCAGGAAAGACATTGAAGGGCTGGAGCGTGTCCAGGGAAGGGAAAGGAGCTGGGGAAGGGGCTGGAGCACCAGGAGCGGCTGAGGGAGCTGGGGTGGCTCAGCCTGGAGAAAAGGAGGCTCAGGGGGTCCTTCTTACCCTCTGCAACTCCCTGACAGAAGGGTAGAGCCAGAGAGGGGTCGGGCTCTGCTCCCAGGGAACAAGGGACAGGATGAGAGGAAATGGCCTCAAGCTGTGCCAGGGGAGGTTCAGGTTGGACATCAGGAATATTTTCTTCATTGGAAGGGCTGTTAAATGTTGAAAGGGGCTGCCCAGGGAAGTAGTGGAGTCACCATCCCTGGAAGTGTTCAAGAAACAAGGATGTGGCACTTAGTGCCATGATCTAGTTGACAAAGTCAAGGTTGGTCAAAGGTTGGACTCCATGATCTAAGAGTTTTTTTCCAGCTTAGATGATTCTGTGATTACAGACTATACATGCCATTGAAACCCAAGTCTGCAACCTCCCTCATTCTAAAACACTTCAGTCTGCTGAAGAGACTCCAGATTTGCTCCTTTCTTGGCTTTAGTGAGAAACAAAACCTTTTATGTTTTTTCTGGGCTTTGTGCCTTGTAAACTCTTGCCAGCTCCTTTTTAGATTGCAGAGCCTGTGCTCTAGATTATTGATTACTATCCTGCTTTCTGTTGGGATGAGATAAGCCACCTGCCTCTGGAATTTAGCATCCAGATGCAGTTCTATTACACATGGTTGTGCTGCATCCACTTCTCTCTTCCCCCAAAACACTGATGCCAGGTGCCAGAGCAGGCAATTTCAGACAAACAAAACTGCCACTTGCTCTGATCTCCCTGTGCACACAGCCGACTAACACTGGCTTCCCTGGTCCTCTGGATCTTCTCTTCATGTAGCAACAATGTAAGGAACCCTATGGGCTATATCCATACTAGAAAATAAACCAGGGCTGGGATACAACCCAAGTTCTGCGTGTTATCTCTGGCCAGCTATCAACCAAACATCTCCTGGCCATCAACTATGGGTTAGCACAGGCCAGGATTGTATCCAGATACTATTTTGGATATGTTCCACCTTTTTTGAGTGGAACAGGCAGTTTTGCTGTGTGGATGTAAGCTGGACCAGACCTTCCAATTTACTGCCAGTTTAGCCTTGGTGGCTACTGAGCTGCCTGTTGAGGAGCTGGACCTTGGGGAACTCTTGAGCATCTCAGTGTGAGCAGTTTGTTTTCTTGGCATCAAAAGAAGATTCAGAT